TATTTTCAACTTTTAAATACAACCCATCGCACGCTGAAATTATTGGTGGCTATCTACCTCAATCAGTGCGGTGTTACTGTCACTGTCACAGGCATCGATGTCACATTTCCTCTCTACCAGGTAAGTCACCACTTTTGGATGGCCATAGGCACAGGCCAAATGCAGAGCGGTCCTGTGACAAGCAGAAACATTATTAGGAAATCACAGAGCTCAATTTCAAAATGCACAATTAGTCATGTAATCCTGAACATTGAATAGCTTTCAAAACGAGTATTTAATTTTCTTCTAAAAGGTAGAATACTTATTAGCCCTCACTAGTCACCGATTTTTGGAAGAGCAGCTGGGTGATTTTGTGTTTCCCTGTGTGGTGCAGGGGATGGAAGCCAGTGTCTTGCACATGCTAAGCAAGAGCTCTAACTGAACGGCTTCCCAGCCTAGAGCAGCCTACTGGAATAGAAAGAGCATACCTTGGATTTCGCTCAACTTGGGTTTAATTCCTACTTGAAGTTCTTACTTCCTGGCTATCATTTACGCTTTCTATGCCTCAATATCCTCACCTATAAAATGAGGACTGAAAGCAGTTATCTCACAGGACACCACTGTGATGGTTACATAAGAATCCATGCAAAATATTTAGAACAATTTCAAGAACAAATAACAGCTCAATAATTGTAAGATACTACAATTACTACTATTGCTTCTTTTAAAAGACAACATTTCCATAAAGTAAAATAAAATAATTGAAATGCATCTACTTTGTGGGCTTAGGATTATTTCAGTAAGCCTTAAGACTTTTTTTCTCACATTTTAACATCTCTGTCATTCGAAAGTCACATATAGCTCACAAGACAACAGGTATGTTATAGCTATAACTGGTGGTGTGGTAAGGCCCTTCCCAACCTGGTGGGGTGGGAACTTTTTGCAATGGAGCAATATCAGCCTCTGTGTATGCAAGGGTAGTTTTGATATGATATAACTCTGTAACATTAATCATACCCAAGCAGACTGCAGAATGCTAATAAACTGCAAAACCAGACACAAATGTTTGTGTATGCCCATATAAGGGAAACGAAGACACAAAAATTCTATGAAAGGGTGCAACCATGCCAAATTGGATACAAATCTGCTGAGTTTGAACCAGTACACATAAAGCTGTTTCCTGGGAAAAAGGCCTCAGTGTCCCGTCTCTATGTGAAAATCCCACAGTACCGGCTTTTAAAAAGTTTTCTTTATGTGGAGTCATCACACAATCCACGTGCCTGACATTAAGAGAAATGTGATGTACAAAATAGGTCTATGGCAGCTATAGGCACATGGTTGGTACTGAAAAACTACCACGAGGAATGAGTGCTGAATAACAATAAAACAAGATTTTAAAAAAAAAAAAACAACCCTTAGTGTGATTTTCATCTTAACGCGAATAAAAACCCAAGATTCAAATGGGTAGCTACGGCTCATGTTACCCAGCATCTAGATTTATACGATGAACAGAAATCAAATATTTCTAATGCTTAATATCAGCATTTAGTACTGTTACAACTTTTCTAAAGAGCAGTTAAAGATTCTCTTACAATTTCCTAATTTATACGATGAACAGAAATCAAATATTTCTAATGCTTAATATCAGCATTTAGTACTGTTACAACTTTTCTAAAGAGCAGTTAAAGATTCTCTTACAATTTCCTAACTTCAGAATATGTTTTTGTTTGAAAAGAAAGGAAAAGCTCTAATTAAAATTTGAGTTCTCATTTCAATTTTAAATCCCTCAATTTGCTACACTGGACAGGTAAGCATGATGGTGTAACACAGGAGGAAGAATCCTGATAGTAGAATACATAATAGCTATTTAGGTTATGTTTGGCAAATAAGTGGACTGAAAGAATGGATAAATACTGTTGGGAGGAGAAAGGAAAGCAGTGTTTCTCTAATAGTAATAATCATTTATATTTGCTAACTTTTACTTCCATAAGAATACAATTTAAATGATCTATACTTACATATATGTAAATCTATGCATAATAAAATATATATAATGAAGTGTACACATAATGAAAATCTATAAACACTGAAAATTCTTGTTTGTTTGGGGGTTTTTTGGGGTTTTTTTCCGGTACTAGGAATTGAACTCATGACCTTGTGCTTGCCAAGCAGGCGCTGTGCCACTGAGCTAAATCTCAAGCCCCTTGAAAATTCTTTTATTTTGAAGAAGCTAAGAGTTGGCAGAAATACCAATACACACACACACACACACACACACACACACACACACACACAGGAAAATGATCTGTGCTAGACTAATATTTCTATTTTTCTCAAGCATTATCTTCTTAACAGTAAACTTAAGAGTTCTATACATAGTCACTGTAGAAACTGCAGATAATAGAAAGCAAAGAAGGGCACACAGAACTACTGCCAAAACTAATCAAAAGATAGTCTGAGATGCAAGACACAGCAAATGTCAAAATACTCAATTAGTACTAAGCATAGTTTCTGCTATCAATGAAACTAAGTTAGAATCAAAAAGATAATGAGGAACCCTTCAATATTAGGAATGGAATGAACTTCTACACAATAAAAAAAGGAACAGAAAATTTCACTTATCATTCAAATGCCTGAAAATAACAAATTTTGCTACACTTTGTACACTTTTTTGGCTAACACAAGATTGCAGTCTATTTGTGTGTATGCAGAATCAAACTGACACTTTTCTCACTTGATATATCAAACGGCATCTTTCCACATCAACATACATTAGTGTCTATGCCAACTTCAATGCTTATATATTGTTCCATCCTATGAATGCACTGCAATGGATACAATCTCTTCTATAGAGTCACCTTAATACACCGCTATTTGAAGCGATGCTGAAGAAAAGCAAATTACACGTGTCTCTATGTCCTAAAGGTATTTTAGGATCATGGAATGGATGGGTGGAGACTTGCTTTTTAAAAAATGGGGTACTTCTATCAAATTGCCTATTTCTAAAGGGCATAAACCATCTTAAATTTTAAGTAGCAGTATAAACTGCTCTTCACCCTCACAAACTTTTTAGCTGCAAAACAATTCATTCCTTTTGAAAATTAAATTCCCCTTACCGGGGACACTAAGTATTTCTTTTTATGTTTAGAGGTCACTCCTCGATCTGCAAAATACCCAATTTAGAGTCAGTATAACTAATGGCAAAATCCAGGACTTGAGGCTCACAGGATGTGATCCCCAGCACCAAAATAAATTAGAATTCAATGTTATTCCTTGATAATTCAAACAAATTCTGTAAGATACAGATACATTTCTCATCTGATGGATGTTGTAAATGTTTTGCGAGAATGCTGTCTTCACTTTGTTAACTTTTTCCTAATATAAAGGAGAATTTAATCTTTCTTTGGATAGTCAACCTTGCGAGTTCAGGTGGCAAAAGGGGGTTGACCTACCGGCAGTGCGTTTAACACGCACAAGGTCCTGGATGCAAGCCCTAGCCCCCAGCACAAAGAAAAACAATCTTGCTTTTGAGGGCATTCTTAGGAAGGCACAAATAGGCATTTGTGTTTTCTTTTGGTACTCTTCTAATTTGGTATTATTTAAATTTTTTCACCTATACTCCACCAAGAATTCTTGTGTCATAAAAATCTACCTAGTTTTTTTTTTTTTTTAACAGTTCCCAGGCATTTCATTCATGGGTAATTCTGATTTTTCAACTGAAATGGAGGTCATCAGTATGAAGTTCTAAATTCTTACGGATGTTTGAATGTTTCTGAATAGTCTATTCAGTTACATTCATTTCTCTGTCTTTTGGGCTTTTAGTAAACAATTAATTGGTGAAAATAGTTTATTTTGATACCTAGGAAGGCAGGTCTTCACTACCTTTTCTTAGTGACAACAGCAAAAGAGGGTTGGTGGAACTCAAATGTTACGTGACGTTTTTATTTGGTTTCTATAAAAGTAATAAACAGAAAGCTCACATTTTGGGACTAACGGATCTTTCTAGTTAAGAACATGGAGCCATCTTCCCTGTTCAGTTTTCTTGTAAGGTTCGTTAGTAAAAACATACATGCACA